AAAAAATAATGGCTATCCAACTAAAGTTTTTAAATTTTGTATAAAATCATTCAGTTAATTGTATGTTATTGTAAATAAATTTACTAAAAAGCTTCTTTGTTAATTTATATAATTTTTACCATGTGCAAATTCATTTCGGGCAAATCCTTGGCAGAAATTATGTGCAAAGCAGGCAATTCATGTTTCTCTCTCTCTCTCTCTCTCTCTTTTCTTTTTTAAATAAAAGTTAGTTTTCTAAAATAATTAAAATTGTATAATTAATATCAACCTTATTAATTGTAAACTTCTTTAAATAATCCAGTGTAATATTACCGTGCGCACATCCATTTTCGGGCCTATCTTTGGTAACTCAAAAATCAAAACGCTTCAGTACTGCAGTAAGAACGCACTATAAAACAAAATTCCTTTATTAACGCTTTTACCTCAATTTGCGCTTCTGTTTTCACATTTTGTAATCTGGCAATCTTATTACGAAAATATTTTTAAATCATTCTTGAAAATTTTCTGTTCTTGTAAGTTTATTTAAACTTGCAACTCGCTTTATAGATTTCATTTTATGTTTTGTTCTGTTTTTCTCTTTACGTTTTATTTTCTGTTTTTTTACGTGATTTTTATTACTTAATGTGTTCTATTCGATTTTGTTTTTTTTTAAAATTTTTTTAGTGCTCCTCACTCTATTGTATTGATATACTTGCTTTGTCTGCATTGATACAAAATTAGAAAGCACTCCTTTTAGCGGATGTAATCGTGTGAGCTGATGAAGATTTTTCTGCGGATTTTTATGAATTTTTTTTTCTGATTTCTATTAATTGTTTCTTTAAATAATTTTTTTCTTAACTTTTTTTCATTATTCTGTGATTTTTTCAATGTTTTCTCTACTTTTTGAACTTTATATAGAATTTACATATCAAAATGCTTTTAAAATACCACTTAACATTTTCTAAGTTTTCCAATTTTGTCAAATAGAAATACAGTGAATTTTACAAAAACTTGTGATTCTGCATCAGAGTCGGAATCTTTTTCTTGCCCTCCAAATCTTGCTGGATCTTTTTTTCTTCTTCTTTCCCTTACTTAAGAGACTCGAACTGGTGTGTAAAAGCAATTAGCCCAACAACTCTTTATACATTTATAATAATTTATGTAAACTTGGTTTTAGTACAAAATTTTCATACAAATGCCGTTAAAACAGCTTTTAGAAAAATAAATGTCAGATAGGAAGTTCAACGTTCAGATCCTTTTTTTTCCAATGCCCACCTGGAGAATGACCTAGGTCATACAGGTATATGAAGGGCGTATTTGTTGATCACTCTTTCAGGGGCATCATATTAGGTGGGCCAAAGTTGCTCCCACAGTAAATGCAGATTGTACAGATAATGAAAGAACATCCATGCCTTGCCCGGGATTCAAACCCAGAACCTTTCTGGTGCAAGGTCAGCTCCCTGACCCTTACACAGCGCGTTCAGATTCTAAAATCTTGGAAAATCATAAATAATTTATGAGTCGATTCGAATTTTATTTTTAAAGGAGATTAAAAAAAAAAAATCTGTTTCCTTTGCCCAGAAAGTAACCTCAAAAATTCTCCTCTTGGTTGCTTGGCAACGGAGAAACACAACGTTTGCCGTTTTGTCATTCATTCAGTTTCTTTATGGTTGTTTTCAATAGTTTCCTTTTAATGGAGAGGTGATTTGGTCTTCTTTTACACTTTCGCCATATATATAAATCTTTATTGCGACCCAATTTTTTCGAAATTTTGTCTACCCCCCTATTTTAAAGGTCAGGATTCCAAATATGTAAAAAAAATATATGTTTATTCTGAGAAAGTACGTTTTTGTGTCTGTTGTTCTTGTAGTTCATTTACGTCACACTAAAGCTGCACAATGGGCTATTGGCGACGGTCTGGGAAACATCCCTCAGGATGATCCGAAGACATGCTATCACAATTTTGATCCTCTGCAGACGGGATGGCACCCCTGCTTTGGTAGCCCGACGACCTGCACGCGAAGTCGAGCACTTTACTGTAGAACAGTTTAACGAGGACCAATACCGCACACCCTCGGTTTCTACGCAGACTGATCCAAGTGGTCACCCACCCGCACACTGACCGCAGCCAGTGATGCCTGACTTCGGTGATCTGCTGGGAACCATGTCTTAACGATCAGTCCACTGCGGGACGTTTTTGTGTCGGATTTCGTAACTCAATTAATAGTTAGCACTAATTAAATAGCATATTTGAGGTAACCCCGGGAACCATTAAGATTGACACTTAGTTTGTGAAAATCCAATCATTAGAACGAAAGTTATTCAGAGTGATATCATATAAATATGTGTATCTATTAGTTAGACAGTAATGCTCTAAATGGGAATAGGGCAGTAAACCTCCCAGGTTTATTATCATACAGAAGATAATGATTTTAATTGTTGTCTCAGTTCTTTGAAGTACCGAAAATCCTTTTTACTATAGTTATTATTTATCTGCCACTTTTGAAATCTTTTTCGCTGTTCTTGCAAGTTGACAGCTTTGATCTTGAATGTTCTTTCAAAAATGTTCGAAACAAAGTAAATGACGCCCGATTTTTAAAAGTTAAAACGTTTTTCCATGTTTACTAATGAAATATCTTTACAGCCTGCTTCAAAAGGTGTCTTAACAATGAAATTCCTGTCTGATTCCAAAACTGTCAATGTTTCGTCCGAATCTCAATTGGGTAATTTTACAACCACTTCTTCTGTTGTCGAAATCCATTTTAAGGTGAATTCAGCTCATTTTACCAGTGGACAGAAAACAAGTTTTTCATTGTATTTCAGTCAAGGTTTGTAGTATTTGTTTCTCTTTTATTTTTTTAAATAATTTAATGCATGAAAATTTTTTGTTTATTTAGTTATATCCAACTATCAACGCCTCCTATAACTGAAAGCCTCCACACAGTTTTTTTTGGAGGTAGTCCAACAACTATGTAGGTAAACACATTTACTTTACTTTATTTATAAAAAATTGGGCACCTGGGCCGCACAACGGCCCCTATCCCATACATCTAGAAATTTACATAAGTTTAAAGTGATAACATTTTGATTTTAGCAGTCGATGTGGTTGCTAATACAAAATTACAAGCACTTTGCTCGGGTAAATAAACATTTGAATATCGAAACTAAATTTACACATATAAATATAAACATATAAATATAATTTGAAATATATATACATAGGTTGACATAAATAAATATAGTAAATATAACATTTGAATATCGAATATAAATTGACATCTGTTGGCATATATAAATATAAACATAATTTGTAATATATATACTTAGGTTGGCATAAATAAGTATTAACAGAAATTGATGCATATTAAATTTTTACATTTAACTAGCACATGTTTAATTAAGATATATATTGAAAGTCTAGAATTTAGAGTTCAATGTTGAAATGAAAGGTCCGGAATTGAGAAATAAAATGTCACTGAACTAGAGCTGTCTCTCCCAGAATTCTTTGCAAAGGACGAAACATTTTTTAGTTGGTTTTGCAGCTCTTTCACTAGTGATACGAGTCTGTGGACCAATTTGGTTGGTGTAGTAGGAACAGAACGAGGGCTCTTCCTGCTGGGGCGGGCTTTGCATCCCGTGTAGTTTGCGGTGTGAATTCTCCACAGTTGCAGCACTTTGGTGGTGTGAGTCTATCCTTACGACACTCGAAGGATCGGTGGTTATCAGTGCATTTCTCGCATCTGGGAGGTGCATTGCATGTCCATTGAGCGTGGCCGTATTCCTGACTATTAAAACACTGCAGCGGACTGCTGTATGTCTGTGATGGTGAAAATTTGCCGGTGATTCTCCGCTTCTGTAAGGATTGTGAGAAAAAGTGGGAGAAGCCTGAAGGTTCCTCCAACTCTTCTTTTAAACTGTATTGCGTGGTGGGTTTCGATGTTTAATTTCCCTAATTCAAGGAAAATATCCTCTGTTTTGAAGTCAACTGGTAGTCCACGGATTAAAACTTTTGCAAACTTGATATGTAGAACTTTCATTGAAGTTGTGGGTGAATTTGGAGCTTTGTTGAAATCCTCTTTGGATTCTGATGGTGCTAAGATAGTGGCGGTCTCTAGCGGTAAAGAGGAGCAGCTATTTATAGTCGAGGTTGTGTAATTATCAGGTTTTTTGACATCCGCTGGCTTTTTCTTCTTCTTTTTCCTTTTCTTTGTAGGAGGTTCTATGTTGTTTTTTTAATACTTTCTGAATCAGAGGTCGAAACTTCTTTAGTCTGTTCCATATGCTGGTCTCCGTCGTTGACTTCCATAGCTGGGGCGTCAGCTGATGTAGTCAGCGTTTCAGGCGTAATTTGTTGAGGTACCAGAATTGAATCGGCCGAATAATATGGTCTTACAGCTCCTTCAGGCACTTTAAAATCACTAAGCGTGCAATAACTTCCTCTTTTGGACCAGCAATGGAAGTGTCCATATTCATCTTCAAAAATTTCACCGGGCTTAGCATCTGGCTTCATGTAGTTGGGATATATCACCGGTATTACAATTCTCTTGGTGGGCGTGTGAGTAATCTTGCCGCCACGTCCGCAGCGTCGAGATAGCATTTTTGCAGTAATTAAAATGAAATGGTAATATCTAAACTTTACTTCCTTTGCCACATCCAAACATAATTGCAAGAGAACGAAATGCGAATTACTCACTCGAAAAGGAAAATGGTCGATTAGCAGTCCACATGAAATGGTCAGAAATCTTGAATGCAAAGTCCATTAACCCTGGCCGACGTTCACCAATCAGTCATTATCCAGTGTGAGCATGAGCGCGGCATATTCACATGGACCACAAGTCTCGTATGTGAGTCAAGGGCATTTTTGATGTAGATAAACAAGCATAAGAAGTATTTAATGCATTATCAAGTTAAAATAAGGTAGTGGTAGCAAATATATATCTAAAAATTTGTTTAATTTTTTAATATGATTGGTTTGTCTTTTTTACCTGTCAACCACTACAGATTCAATTCTCAAATATATTTGATAAATTTCTCTCAACTACTTTTACAAAAGAATTTCGATTCATGAGCACAACTGGTTCACTCGTTAGATGGACTGCACAGACTGCTTATAAAAAACCGTGTGAAGGCTGTCTGATGTCGGAGGTAACGCAACTGCATGGTGTATACAGTCTATGTTATACCCAAGTGCATTGTATTTTACTATACTCTACTACACATAGTTTTGCTATACTTAATTACGCTTTTTCACAGTGAAGATTTATGTGCGGGATTTTAATACGCAATTTAGATGAAAAGTATTTGCCACCATTTTTTTGATGCTGAGATACACTAAACATTTTACAGTGATCGAATTTGAACAGTTTTTCAGTTCTCATAGTTGTTTAAGTTAAAATGACCTTAAAACAGCAGGTTTGCTAAACAATATTATCGCCATCACATTATAAGCTAATTTTCAATTCTAGTTTTGCTATTTTTAAAAAAAAAATTATTTTCTATATTTAGTGTATGAATATTCCTATATCTGCCAACTTTTAATCCTTTCAAGGATGATTTTCCCCAATGGTAGTAAAATGAAATTTAAATTACAATATTAGGGCAAAAACATTCGCTGTAATTTGAACAAGCTTATGCTGATTACTACAACCATACTACGTATTAATATAAATGCTTATTTTTTTAAAATAGTGGCGGATCAAAAATATTATAAATCAAGTTTATAAATGCAAGGAATATATAGAAAGCATTCACTTTACTACCACTTTAAATTTAGAAATAAAATTTTACGCCAAATGCGTAAAAGTTGGCAGGTATGTATTCGTAACAAGTCAAGTTTCTTGGAGCTGAATTTGATACTTATATTACGGATTTCGTTTTTGCAAAAATTTATTTTGTCGATTATTATAGGGATAATATAAAGACATAACAAAAACAGAGACTACATATACACTGCTTGTGGAGACTTTTTATATTCCCTCCCGGATTTAACAGCTAAAAATAACTGTGGAATTGTAGACATTTTTCTTAAAATCCAATCATAACTACATCTGATCGAATGATTTGAAATTTAATATTTTTCAGACTGCAATCGAATACTGACTGAGCTTACTGGAAATCTAAGCAGTCCACATTACCCAAGTAGCTCACCGACTGACGCACAATGCATTTACAGAATAAGATTGACACCAGGATACCTCATCAATATTACTTTTCAAAACATAGATATAGGTCTCGACGATACATGTGATAAAGGTAATTTACAGGTGAGATTCTTTATAAGGTATCACTCTGAAATATTATTGGCCACTTTTTACTTCATTTTCTTTACATAAACAGAATTTAAACAAATATTGTTGTTGTTGTAGTTCATTTAAACAGCGCTAGAGCCACACAATGAGCTATTGGCGACAGTCAGGGAAATATCCCTAAGGATGATCTGAGGATCATCACAGTTTTGTTTATCTGCAGAAGGGATGATATCACGCTTCTTGGTCGAGCACTTTACGATAGAACTGTTTAATGAGGACCAATACCGCACACCCTCGATCCGTCCGCAAACTGATCCAAGTAGTCACCCACCCGCACACTAACCGCAGCCAGTGATGATCTGCCGGGAATTGTGTCTTAACGATCAGTCCACTGCGGGACATTTAAACAAGTATAAAATTACCTAAAGACCCTCCGAGGTATATCGCCATTGCTGAGGATTTTAAATTTAAAACAGTTGCAAAATCCATTTAGCTAGTTCGATGTTTATTAAAATCAAAGATATCGTACCTGAAATAAAAAGGCGTATCAGTAGAGGTTAATGTGACTTTTTATTGATACTTTTACAAATTTATAGATTATAATGAATTGCGGTGGTATTTTATCTGGAAAAATAAAGTTGTTATTCTCGAAAGAATTATGAGTATTATTTTAAAGCTGAGTTTTCGATAGAATTCAGGAAAATATTATTTGGGTAGTAAACGCAACCCTAATTTAAACAGGATGTTCAAAGCGATAAGCTGAACTAGCACAGCATAAAAAAAATTTTTTGAACGCTGAGTTTTTAAATTTAAAATTATCTACTTAATTATAAACACTAATAATGAAGGGTTTTTAAATGCTTGTAACGGGGGTTGGAAAAACCAAGTACAATGGGTCATAAATAACATTGAATAAAAAAATCAAGGATTTCGTAAGTCTACTCTTTTAAAAATATAAAACTTTCATTTTATGAACCACACAGTTTAATTATACCTAAATATTACTTTATTAGACGAATATAAATTTGAACACCGTAATGTAGAAATAAATATAGCATTTCTAATTATAGCGCCATGCGTATATTTACTTATTTAACAAATTTGAAAAATACCTAATTCACTGTAGTGAATCTGTTTACTGCCTTAGAAATTTACTCGACCGGTTTAATTAACCTGGCCATTGCCAGGAGCACCCTGAATATCTTTTGATCTAGTCATCGGATCTTCATGTATGTATAAATACACATTCTTAATGGCCTGACCTCAAATATGACCTAACTATTGGGACAATGTTTCCCAGATTACAGCTATCCCCCACAATATCCAGAAAGTCAGTAAACCACGATATCTAGAAAGTCAGTAAATACATTGATAGAAATGTATGTTTATTTAGAAAAAAACGTGTTTGTGTCTGATTTTGAAACTTCGCTTACGTTAATTAATCAGTATATTTCAGATTACCCTTTTAAACCATTAAAATTGAGTTCTGGTTTGTGAAGATAGATTAAAAGTTATCCATGGTGTTCCATTTTTTTTTCTACAATGAGGAGTCATTACAGTCAGCAAATAGTTATCTGTGTTTATTTATTTAATTATTTTTTTAGCTGAAGGCGAGTTCAATTACAAAAGAATGTAATAACCAACTATATAAAACTCTCTCCCTTCCATAATCTAGGTTTATGATGGCGATGACCAAGAGAGCCCTCTAGCTGCCGAACTATGTGGAGTTATTGCATCATATCCTATCATATCGACAAACAATTACTTATGGATAAAATTTAAATCTTATTGGTTATTTGGTTCGTCATTTTCAGCTAACTACAGTGCTGTAAAAATTTGTAAGAAGAAACTATTTTATATTTTTTAAAGATTAATACTTTTAAATTTGCATCATCATTTTTATTACTATTTTGCTTTAAATCTCAATCCTCATATAGATAAGAAGGAATTAGTTTGGACATGGGATTAGTGTAGAAAAAAGGAATATTTCTGAGTTAGTGCGGACAAAACCTGCTTATTTATTTTTTAAAAAAAATTCAATAAAAATATTATGCATCCGAATTAGCTTATGTATGTAGTAAAGGTTTTAATTTTAATCAAAATAGTGCTAGATTGTTCACAACCATGATTAGTAAGTTTTTATGCCATATTTGTTAAAATCTTTTACACTAGAGCTCTATCCCTTATTTATGATCTCTTTACGATTATTTTTATTTCGTATCACATAAAGTCCATAATATAGTTTTTTTTGTTTTTTTTGTTTTTATTGTTCAAAAACAACATAATTCCAGCAAAAGATTTAAGACGTAAACTTTTATTTGATACGCAAACCAATTTCCGAAGACACCGTATTTTTTAAGTCATGATTTATAAGCCTTGACCCGGGAAAATTTTAATTTTTTTCAATGAGTTTTCTACTTAAACTAAGCCACATTTGAGCAACAGCGACGAAAATGCCACCAAAAAATTTCGACTACAATTTTTACTTTAAAAAAAGTCAGAGAAATCAAACAGCTTTGGGTATAGCATATACTCTTTTATTCTTAACTAGTGTTTTTTCTTTTTACAGTTTTTTGAAATTTTTGAGGCTCTTAACTGTGAGATATCTGACATTTTTTTGAAAACTCATCAGTTTACAAATAGTAATATCCCAGGAGTAAACAACGGCTGATTGACAGAACAATTTAATCGATTTAACACGTGTTTTACATTATTTTAAAGCCATCGTTGAACAGCCGACCCAATTTTGGGTTTACGACTACTAAGTTCAACTCCATAGCCTTTTGATTTTGAATCAATTCAAAAGACAAGGAAACTCCTGAATCAGCAACCCTAGAGGTATGATTTGTAATGGGAACACGGAGGACATTGCGATTCGACTAATTTAACGTGCATCAGCACCATTTACTACACGTGGAGCCTTCGGCCTGTGGAAATCGAACCCACGACATGAGAATTAAAAACTTGTTTACCTTTCTGTTATACCTACGCATTGAATGGTTTCGCCGGGACCATGTCCAAGAGTTCGTGAGTTCGATCCCCGTCGGCCAAAGACTCCCCGTGTAATAAATGGTGACTGATGCACGTTAAATCTGTCGAGTCGCAAAGTCCTCCATGTTCCCATTACAAATCAAAACCTCTGGGGGTTTCCTTGTCTTCTGGATTGGTTCAAAATTACAAGGCTACGGCGTTGAACATTAGTAGTCGTAAACCCATAAAATTAGGTCGCCTGTTCAGCGACGGTTATAAAAAAAAATTCGCTCGTGGTAGTGGTGTTTATACGTGGTGGTTATAATGCGTTTAATTCATGGTGGTTACAATGCGTGGTTAGCTAAACCCAAGCGTAAAATCGCCAAAGATGTAAAACTCCTCCAACTTTTTTTTTAAATTTTTTTTTAAACTCAAAAATTAATCAATATAAAAAATTAAACAAAATTGTTGAATTTAACCAAAAAGTGCAAGACTTAGATCAGTTAAGTTACAAACCCTGGGTATCAATATTAAGAGAAGAACACTGTTTAAACGTTAACACTCGTTAATTTGAGAATGCTATCTTCTTTAAAAACGTTCATATGCTGTACTAAGCATATTGAGTTCACCACGAAACGTTACTAACACGTAAAATTCAAAAATTAAATCTGCTCTCTTTTGAACTGTATAAGTTCATTATACTATTATCTTCATTTTTTGACTGTATGATTATAAATCTCGAAATGCTTGAAATTATACTTATTAAAAAAGCAGGGCAACTGCTCACCGGAGGCGACTAGTATTAAGATAAAGGTATTTAAATATAGTGTTATAACAGAAAGAATAATCAAGTATATAGGTATTAATTTTATTAAATTGTTTTTTTTTATTGGAAAGTTGAAATGCCTACAAATATTGATGAACCAGAAGAAGTTAGTGAAGTAATTACAGATAATTCTGAAGGAAATTTCCAAACTTCTACCACAGAAGATAATTTGGAATCTAGATCTAATGCACAAGAAGAATGTAAATGTCCAACTGGTAAAAATAATTTTCGACACCTAATTAATGAAATTCTGTAAAAATATTCAAAACTAACTAGTAACTTTTTTTCCATTACTACTATTACATAATAGTTTTTTAAAAATTATAATACTTGTTATGAACCATAAGGAAATGATTGCCGTGACTCTTATGCCTTATTTCGAATGTTACCGCTGAAAATTAATTTTTTGGAAAATATATTTGCCATGATTAAGGAAAAGAAGTGGTAGTCACGAATTATTTACAGGCCTGTCAACTGCTTCGATTTTTGAAATATATTTCATAGAGAAGTAGGCATTTTAAAACCGAAGCTTTCAGAAATTTTGGCAATTTTACCAATATTTTAAAAGTTTAACCTCGGTCGAGGAGACAAAAAGTGGCGTTGCATACGAATTTTTTAATCATCAGTGGTAATGAAAACAAATTTAAATGACTAGAAAAATATAGATTTAAGCATAAGCTACCACTAGAATAGTTTTTTTTTTAAAAAAAGAAAAGCGTAGAAAGTTGGCGGCCCTGTATTTACAGCATTCTGGGACCGATATTATACATATTATACACTTATGATTTTCCTATAAACAAAGCCGATTATAACAGCATAACAGCCTATTACGCAGACGATACCGGTATTATTATTAAATCCAGAAACCCAAATCATGCTCTTCAAAAACTACAAGACCATATAGACGAAATAGAAGACTGGTGCTTAAAATGGAAAACTGCAGTAAATGCTGGAAAATCACAAATATTAATTATACAAAAAAGAAGAATTAAAATACTTCCACAACTTCAACCAAAAATGTTCAACATACCAATACCAATAGTTAAAAAAGCAAATTATCTTGGCCTTATAATCAATAGCAAACTCACCTGGAATGATCACATCAAAAGCACAATATTAATCCAAAA